CCTCTCGGAGCATAGCTGGAGGTTTTGCTTTGCTACACCTCCTCTTTGCAGCAAACTTGGGGTGCTGGATTTCAGGCAGCTTTCCTGACGGAGAGTGCTCCGTGCGTGTTGGTGACGTCATGACCATTGGTGTTTTCCTCTGCTTAGACACACCTCCAGGGACAGTTTTCTCTGCATTCCCACATGTTTCAAGGCCAGCTGAGGGGGACTCACTCTCTATCATCTTTCCTAACTTTGGGACGCGAGGCTCTTTCTTGTTTCCCTCTGAGTTGGAAAGTATCCTGCTAACGACTTCACTGCTCATAGAAATCCTTGAAGCCAGTGCTTTCTCTGGGATGATTTTTTCCACCACGGCTTTAATGGACTGCCTCTTTTTCCTCTTATGGTTGGTTGGATCCAGAGAAGGTGTCTTTATGGGGATAGTAATCCGGACATGACTGGAATCATTTTCAGGATTACTTATGGAACTGATACTCTGCCTGCTGGGAGATGCCTCTTGAGCATTATCTGCAGAGTATCCTTCCCCTTTCCCTTCTGTGTTTCCAAAGGCTTTCTGGGCACTTTTGACCCAATCCAAATCTGAGTTTGGTATGGTTTGACTGATCACATCTTTTTTACTGGACTTCTTCTTGCTACCTACCGTGGGTGGTTCTGGGATCTCTTTTGACCCTCCTCCATCTTGATCCCCCAATGGCTGGAGTCCATTGCACTCAGCAGAGTTGTTAGTGGGCGCTGGGGAGCTGTGGTTGCTGGGAGATGATACCACACTTCCCAAGAGAAGATCTTTGCCACCGCTGGACAACTGACTCCAGGTACTCCCTGTATTGCCTTTCTTACTCTGGGCCTTTGCAAAGGAAGCCACGGGTTCAAGAGCTGGGATCTTGCTGGTGCTTGCAGTGTCTCTGCCAGACTCTGGACTGATGAAGCAATTCTGAGTGGCAGGTCCACTGTCAGGGCTGGTGGACCAGTCCATGTGGTTCTGGCTGCTGCTTTTTTGCTGGTGCTTTGGTTTTAAGGTGTCACTGGTGAAGCCCTGTGAGAGGCCTGAGTCATAATGAAGTGCGGAGTGTTTCTGGGGCCTCTCGTAAGCCTGGCAACAGGTAGAGTGGAGAGAAAGAGAGAGAAACAAAGATGAGCATGCTGGAACTCTGTAAAGTTTATTGTCTAAAAGCTTCAATATTTTAAAATTTGAAACAATTGTTTATGCTAATGTTTTCCCAAACTTCAAGATGCTTTAGAGAGAGAGAATTTTTCTCAATTATGCTACTAAAGATACAGGACACTGGATTTGAGTCTCAACAAGGATGCTTTAATTGCTGTCTTTCCCCTCTAAAGAACTTTCTTCAAAGCA